GTCGTAAGTAATCATAACTCTTAAGAGGGTGCAATACCTACTTCTAGATATCCTCTAGGATTTTCCCGTCTTAGAACAAGGATTTTATCTTTAAAATGTCTCTCTCCCTACGATAGTATATACACCCATCTAAGGTCTATCTATGGTAATGCAATCTAAACACTTGAATTCTCTTGCCCATTGCTTGAATCTAAAATCATTCACTAACTTGACCGTCAAGGAGCCTTTGGTAGGCACCCCCCTGCCCCACTCGGTCTTAGGATTGCTCATGGTTGTTTACTGTTTTGCAGGTTGCTCAGGTTTATTCGGATTTGCGCTCAACCATTGTTCACGGAGGTGCGCGAATTTGGTTCAACAATTAGTACTTTTAGTAAGATCAAACTCATATTCCTTTCGACCAAATCACTCTGCCTTGTAGAAGTTGTGTCAAGACCACCGTCTCATGATTAGAACACAGGCACAGGGGACAAAGTTGCCTCCTTTATAAGTCAAGTATGGGAAAATGCCCTAAAGATACGCACATCAGTGAGATCTAAAAAAGAACCTATGAATCATAGAATAATCTAGGCCTTCCAGACTAGATGAAAGGATGAAAGATGTCAAAGACACCATCGCTCGTCTCGAAGTTTCTACCCCTTGGGTTCTTCCAGAGACAATAAACCTAAATCTAGACCGCCTGATCCCGAAACTTGTCCTAACAAGGGGAACTTAAGGACCATCGAAGACCTTAGGTTTATTGCCGCCCCACCATCCAGGGAAGAGATCTTTCCCCTAATAATAGCCATACAGGAAGAGACCAAGACCACTTCAAATGAGCTCAAAAAGGGAGAAAGACGATGCAAAAGACACATCATCCTAGAAACCACATCACCAAGCCAAAAGACATCAACTCCTCCCCCCTCCCCCCCCCCCCCTTTCCACCCCCAATGACGAGGTAGCGATACCACCATTTTGGCTAGCACTTACCAATGTGTATTGATCTAGGAAGAAAAACTTAACCTAAAGCTCAACATGGCCTTAGATCATGCATGATATTCATTTATTCATGATTAACTTAACACTTGTTCCTTTTCCATTGGAACACATATCATTGTTAATGATTAGAAGATGAGTGAAAAAGGAAGTTGAGTTAAAAATAATGGCTAAGTGTTAGAGTAGAAGAAAGAGACATAAATTTTTAAAAGAGACATGAAGAAAAAAAAGATAGAGGAAGTGGCGAAAAAAGAAAGAAAATGATAAGCTCGTATTTATATAAATTTTACATCAAATTCACTTGTCTTTTCTTAGTTAGTTTAAGCTATTTACTTTGTTTTTGGGTTTTGTAGGATTTGTCAAGCAAAGAAAAGAAAAATAGCACAAGTGGGATTTTAAGTAACAAATTCGTCAAAACTGCCTGTGCAGGTCAGCTGACTTTGGAAGCAAGTTGCAAACAGCTCAGACATAATTAGAGAATGATCCTTATATGCTTGGAAAGCTACGAATGTCTATTTTCTGGACCATTTCAGGGATTGATAATATCATTTTTTTAGAAGAAGTTATGGCCGTTTTAACACTAAAAGGTTCCCAAGAGGCTGAGCAGTTTGTGACTGACAAGAAAGCATTGAAAGCAATAAATCCAATAAAACTAGCAGCCAAAACTGATGCAGCCAAGAACAAGCTAGCTGACACCTATTCAAATATCAGAGGAATGGAAAATTATGTGGGAGTATGAGCATAAAGGCTACCTAAAGAGTTACAATTGTTTTACCATTTCCTCTCACTTATTGTCATCACTAAATGGTTGTTAGTGGGGTGAGTTATGGAGGAAAAACTATGGCAGCAAGCAAGAAGAAAAAGGCTACAGGTTGCAGCAGCAAAGAGAGAAGAAAAGGATAGAAAAAAAAAGAAGGAAAGGAAGGAAAAAAGGCAAGGCTGCTGTGTTGGGGAAGGAAGGAAAGGAAGGAGGAAATCTTGGCATTCTCTTCTTTCGGTTTTATTTTCTCAAACCCATGTCTTTCTTTTGGTTTTATTTGAGAATAATGTGTAACTAAATTTTTAGTAGTTAGGGGCTGTTTTGAAGCCCCAAATATGATTGCAAGTTTGTTATGACATTTCGTTTGGATTACTTTTATGAATGGATGAAAATTGGTTCACTACTTGTCTCATTGATGAATTCTTTATGTGTTTTCTACAGATGCATACTTAGTAAGCATATCTAGGATTCTAAAACTATGAATATGTGTGTGCCTGCCCTTGTCAAATGATGACCTACATATGTTCTAGAGTAGTACTTGTTAATTGCGATTAACATGTGAACCAATTTCTAGGATAAGTAAGACAACACTAGTACTTACGATGCCTTGTGATGACTCAAACTCTTTTCGTTCTTAATGATTTCTACTTGTTAAATCTATGAACACACCATTCTAGATTGCATGTTAGGGACTAAGTTAAGTTGGAAACACCATTCTCTTAACATACTACATAAGAAAGAGTAATAGGTTGAGTTCTAGCATTGAGCCAACTTGAGCATCTTCATCCGGAAATAGAAGGAATTTGAATGAAACATAACATGTTTGCATGATTATTTGGTGGTGGATAGCAATTCCCCTAACTCGTTTTTCTTAATTTGCGAACTACTTAAAATCCGTTTTTGACCTGTTTTTGTTTGATTTAATTTAAATAGTAAATCAACTCCAAAAATCTCAAAAATTTGTGTGAGTGTAGCTCTGTGTGTCTAGTATTTGCATATAAAATTTTTCAGACTTTAGATAAGTGTAAGTCAGTCTAATAATTATTTTTCGTTGGTTGGCTAGCAGGGACAGCAGCCCTGTTTTTGTGACATTTTAAGTAGTTAGATAAAACAATCTTCTGCAGGAAAGACCCTTATTTTCATATGCTACAATTGACAAATCTTAGTGTTAATAAGGAAAATCAATAGGACATTTGTGTGCTACTTTGTGGTGTGCTTTTAATCCTATCAGAAAACAAGAGGGAGGAAATGAAGGAAATAGTAACCTATTGTTTATCATGTACATTGTTGTTAAAGATTATTACTCTGGTGTTGAAATTATGATTATGTTACTCTTGTTGCTAATCAGTTTGATTTATGTTGAAACTTGCAGGTTTGTTAGAGAAAATGTGATTATTAATATGTATATGAACAATGACATATACATATGCATTGCAAAGCAAGAAAGGAAGTTGAGTTGTGTAAAGTGTTTGAGTTGTGAAGATATTCAAGGGCTCAAGAATTCCTTGAATATAAAATAATGAACATTGTATACGTCAGGCATTGGGGGAAGGGCTTAAGTATACAATTAGTTGTTTATTAAAAAATGAAATCTTGTATATGTCAGTGTCGGGAGAAGTACCTATATAATAAAGTGGAAATTGAGAATTTAATTATAAAAAATTGAGCTTAAGCAATGAACGGGAGTTAGATCATATTCTAAGGTATTCGAAGACAAGTGGTATAAGCATGGTATAGGACGTGCAAGCTTACGTGCCTTAGGTATGCGTTAGCGGGATTAGAAGGGAGTGACCACATTCATTCATCTCATTTGCATATATTTTATGCATTTGAAAAAATTGTTGCATTCTAACTATTATTTAGTTGGTACTTTTTGTTGTGAATTAATTTTGTACACTAATGCTATTCCACTGCGTATTCAATAAATTTTATGTAGTAAACTCAAGTATTTACTATGTAAGTCTATTAGCAAAAGTTAAATGATGTATTGTGTTTCATTTAAAATAAATATTATTTTAAATTTTCTTACCATGTCTTGGTTGTAGAATTTATTTCTATAACTAAGATAGAACTTACATCTTAACTTGTGAATAGTCATTATTCACAGGTCGATGCGTGACAGTTTTATCTCTTGTTTTCTTGAACCAAGTATTAACTATCCCCTGAGCTTGGCTCAGTTTTGGGCTTCATGCCCTTTACCTAGCCTTTTTCGCCTGCTTTTACTGCTTACCGTCTTTTAATTTTCCCTCATCCCTCTTCCTTAGCCATGATATTATATCCCCACCGCCACCATGTGCTCAGATCAACAGGCTTTGATCAAAAATTGGATATCAGATCCACTTCCCTCCCTCACTTTTCCTCCCTCAACTGACATGCTAGATCCCCATCGAGGCCAAGTGTTCTACAACCTTCTCCACAGTAAGAGTATTTAACATACCCCTTACTCTCACTTTCTACCCATACTTTGTTTATATATATTTGAAAGGGTTCATAAGGGGGACTTGGATCTGGTGTCTACTTTCTCAGTTCAGAGTTTTGGGTTCGTCCAAGGATGTAACAATGACAGCGGTCTGGTCTGGTCTGGTTTATGCTACTTGAGATTAGGGTTTTTTGTTGTTTGTTTTTGCAACCTTCAAACCAAAGCTTGTGTGAATCTCCCATTGTATCTTGGGTTGCAACTCTTATTTTGTTTGGGCCTTTTGAAGGAAAACTAACGAAAAGTCCAAAAAAATTTTAGTTTTAATGAAAAATGACAAATAAAGGTGTAGTGAATAGTACCCAGAAAAGGTAAAAATGCGATTTTTCGTTACAAGTGAACAGTCCTGAAAGTGTTTCATCAAAACTCCCTTTATTTTATCTGTTGTTTACCTACCTCTTTTTGAACCTTGTACTAGTTTTTAATGTACTGGAAGTTCTCTTCTTGACCAAAAAAATCAGGGAGTGTTGGATGAACATTTACTGATACAAGTCTTGCACAAATTTCTTGACCAAAAAAAATCAGGGAGCGTTGTGAAGCTAAAGAATTGACGATTAATCTTTAGCTAAATGTGTGATCCAAAATCCCAATCCAACAACATAAGCATCCATCCGGCAACATTTCTTCTCTAAATGCATAATTTTTCACTTATTGCGCTCTAAAAATACAACCAGCAAGCCAAGAGAGGGAGTGGCTGAGTCACCAACAGTAAATTCCTAAGAATAACACGTAAGGATTAGTAAGAAAAACCAGGAAACCGATCGAAGGTGGAAAAAAATTGAGAACGATGGGTAAGTTCGAGGATATATATCTTAATACAGGAAAAGCTACAAACAATGCATGTCCCTAGAAGCCCCATTTAAATCCAATGACGCACGATCACTGAAAAAAATGATGCCAATGGATATCAGACCTGCTCTATATTTTTATGTATTCCGGGGGCAGGAAAAGGAAAAGAAAACCCCCGATTTACATGTAAGACTACGTAGATGTCAACCCGATGCAGAGGTACATATGGTGGCAGTGGCATCCTTCTAGAATACGAAGATGATAAGACATAATCTAAGCAGTAGAGACAATAATCTCAACGAAGGAATCTGGGATGAGATGAGCCGACTCGATGCAGCTGATGGTTTTGAGGGAGCTCTTCCAGCAACAGCAGGAGCAAACCCACCGGGGGTGCTCTGCTGCTCATTTGTTGGCAAGGGATTTGGTGGTGTGCCTTTTGGAGATGCTAGGGGCATACTTTTAACATCATTCAGATCTCGGCCTGCAATGCGTGAATTTGTAAGCAACCGTAGAGTTACACTTTTCACTTTTCAATTTTATCCTAATACAGTGGATTGAACTAAGCATACAGCCGTCACATAATCTTAAGGTTAGCAAAAATAAAAGGATATCAACCAGTGGCCTATAAGTTTCATGCCAGACTGATGACTTCCAGCATCACTTTCGGCTAAATAGTGACATTTCCCCCATCACATGAGACAAGGAGAACCAATTGTAGGCAGTACTATATCGAGAAATTCAGAGAACTCACAATTTGAACGCGACCAACCTAGCTTCAAGTTCTCCCTATCGAATACTGTCCGGTATCCCGTCATGAAGTTCTCTGCACAAGGAAAGTCTCAGATAACAAGATGTTTAACAGGGATAAGGGGAAGTAAGAAAAATCAAAGAACTAAGCTGCAATTTTGCTAGAGAAATTATTCATGCTTACGTCCAACCGTTCCAGTATCTCCCTCTGCTGGCTGTATGGCCAAACAGAATCCAATAACTCCCTGCACCAGGAAGGCCTAATTTGTAAGATTCTAATTCAATTGGTTCCATCTTGCTTCAAAACTGAGATAAGAAATGGTTTACCCAAGCTAATTCACATATTGACAGATACAGGACATAATGAAACTTAATTTAATTCACATCTATATGAAAAATCTCAAAAGCTGGTTTACCTACCTGATCACCAGTGTATCAGAAAAACAGGATCATGGACCACAATACTGTTGTTAGCAAGGAACATAAGCGTCACAGAAGGCACTTTGGGCAGATCTTGAGAACTGTTCTAGGAAAAAATACCCCAATAATGGCATAAGATTGTGCCCACAACTTTTGGAAGTGGGCATGGAGTTTCTGAAACCATTTAACTTCATGAAAACTCACCTCGTATTATAGCAGTACTTCCAAGGAGATCCTGCATAGTTAGCAACTGTTGCATTTACTCGTCTGTCAAACTATCAAAAAATGGAAGAGGTATATCAGCGATGCAGATAATAAATATAGATATTGGAATCTTACAAAAAAAATGTACCTCCATTGCAATTTTATCGTACACTGCTTCTGGAAGAAATGTAAATGATGTCCCACTGTCAACCAGTGCTTTGAAGCTTGTCTGGTTAAGGCAAGAATTGCCAATACAGCATGCTTCCACACCAACGATATACATTTCACTGAAATAAACAACAATGGAGGCTTCAGCATATACAAAAAATTTAGCTTAGCAATTATACAGAATTGTCACTTAAAGTTGCAATTCAAAAAGAACTGTGTGGATAGTTCATACTAATTTCCATTAGAAGGCAGGAAGGATGTAGATTGTTGTGTAGCTGGACCCTGGTCCCCAAATAGTAGTCTCCCAGAACTGTCCTCGTCAAAGCAAATCGAGAAAGAGTTCTTGGTCAATCCCGCTTTAGCAAGTAAAGTAGGAACTGAAGTCTGTCCAAGTCCTAGACCCATAAGACCATCAGGAGCAATTCCATCCAGGTAACCACCACTTTGCTTCATACCGCATCTGTATATAAGAAAAGTTAATATCAGACACAGAATTCCATATTACTAATGGAACTATTTTATACATTGAGTTTAACAAATTAATGACATATCGCACCCTATGATAACAGGAGCTCGAATAGAAGCTGTTGATGCATCATCACCGCCAGCTGCTAAGTGTAATATGTCCTCCACAAGCAATCCAGAACTTGATGTATTTTCTGTGTAGTACTCAATAGTGTAAGGGCATGTCTGCTTCGAATTCTTGCACTTTGGACCAGATTCACATAACTCATGGCTGCAAGATACATGCTTGCTGGTGTTTGAACCAGATGGGCTGTACTCGTGTAAATCCCTATCCTGCATAATAGATGCCCCAAATATGAGGGAGCACCTGCCAATCAATTATTGGAAATAAGTGCTAAACCTGTTGACAAGTCTTAGAAGAGACTTACTGACTCCGGTAACCATTCACTTCCACCTTTACACATACCTTGAAATACATGAATTATCCAATCGAACCTAATTCTAGGCACCTCACGAGCCCCCAGATTCTACTTATCGAAACAATGACCATTAAACAATGTTTGATGGATCTGGACCTTCTATAGGATTGTGGGTTGGGAGAAGGGGGGGCTTAACTTTTTCTAACAATTTTCTTGCATACACATTAAGATGCAAGTAGTTCATGGCATAATTGAAGAAAGTTGAGGTTCCACTATAAAACTAATTTGAAATATGAAAAGCAGCACAATTACTTATAAGCACATGCAAGATCCCTTTTTTTCCTAACATAGGATTGATACTCTTAACACAACCCCCACACGTGGCAAATTTTCAAGTCCAGCACATGGACAACCAAATAATATTAAATAGAGCGAGTAGCCCAATTACTTATAAACACATGCAAGGTCCGTTCTTATAATATGAAATACAAAAACTATGCTGCAAAACATAAAATCATGCAACGGCCAACAGAAATCTGAAAAGGCAATGGAAGCATAATTAGAGGTAAAGGGTAGCCTACCAGAGTAGTAGAGTAAGTCGCGGACAGAGGAGCGCATTGTATGCAATCACATGGAACCCAAAGCAGATCACTCCCAGTATCCAATGCAACCAGAAACGAAACATTGGGCGTCCCTATATCAATCCACGTATAATGCAACCTAATACGCACATCGACATTCCGAAAACTTCATTTTCCATTCTATATGCTTGAAAACTTTGAAGTTAGAAAACCAAGTGAAATGAAATAAGAGTAGGAGAAATTAAGACAAACCAGCCCAAGTCGTTGCCAAACGACACCGTATTGCCACCTTCAGAGGGGAAGAGGAACTGGAAGTGCCGGCGAGAGCCGAGCTTCATATTCTGTTTCTGGAAGTCGATGCTTGCGAGCAGGTGGTAGTAGCCCATGGTGCTCCTCTGCGGCCACCGACCTAAGGCCTGGGGTCTCCATTCCTCGAAATCCGAAGCGTCTTCGCTTCGTCGGAGAAGCGGTGTATCAGCCTCGACGACAGCGTAAGCGCGCGAGCACTATGAAGCTGTGTAAGCACGAACGCCACTAGCAGAGCAGAGAGCAGAGATCGCGCCGCCATGGCGACTCCAAGAGAGAAACCACCTCAGCTTAGCTTGAGATCTGATATGAGAGAGAGAGAGAGGGGTAAAGTGGAGGAGGAGGGGAAGAGGACGAGGGAGGAGAGTAGTGACAGAGCTATGGCCTTCCCTATTGCCTCTTGGGGAATGTCTAATTAAGCGAATGGGATGATGATGGTTTATTGGTTAATTAGTTAATTAAGATAATTGTTATTAACACTTCAAAATTCTCGTTCTAAACTCTAAACTTTTTATATTTAAAAAGAAAAGTACGAGAAATGTAGAATGAAATTTTTGGAATGCTAACAACACTTCTCTTAATTAATTTGTTTAATTAATTTATGTGAGTGAATTAATTTGTTTAATTAATTTAACTGAGTGAGTGAGTGAGGGAGTCTTTACGTGTCCACCGTTTCAGGGAGGTGTGACACCTGGGCGGGGACCGCTTGGCTATCCCTTTTTATGCGCTTTTCGTCTCCTTCTTTTCATTTTAAATTGCTTACATTTTTTCTCCTCACCAGTGTACGATTATCATAAATTTAATTATTTGTTATATTTTATTTCACTTAATTCTAATTAATTTTTATCATAAATGTTACTTTTTTTATTTTAAAAGAAATTAATCAAGTTTAAATGAAATGATACGTGTCAATAAATTAAGAATATGGCAAGCATACACCAAAACTTAAGATGGTGAGCAAAACTGCTCATTTTACAATTTACAATAAGGGTTAAAAAAATTATCGAAAATATCAAAACCAACTGAAATGGTACGTAATTTAAATCGAATAAAAAATAGACCAACCCGAAAGTACTGAAATATTTGGTACCCTAACAGAATCGAAACCGAAAATTTTGGTACGTCCATCAATTTTAAATATTGAATTTTTTGTTAATACCAGAGCCAGTTCTAAGATTTTTAAAAACATTTTTATTCACTGCTATAAACTTGACATGTGTCACTAGTCTTCACTCTAGTTAATTATTCAATTAATCAATCACTTTTAATTTTTAAAATGATTTAAAACTAAAAAAGAGAAAATTAAAAAAAAATGAGAAATTTGATATAAGTTCAATTTTTTAGCCCATAGTAGAAAGAATCCAGTTTATCAAAATAAGTCCAATTCCTTAAAATTAATTATTTTATTATCAATAATTATCTCTTTAATGATAAGATTTATTATAAAAATCAAATTTCTTCCTAATTATCTTTTGAGTAAATTACATAAAACTACATTAACTATAGATCGAATCATAATCTCATACCTCATGTTTTAAACATTGCAATGTTATACCTTAACTTATGAATTTGTTGCAATGTCATACCTCAGTTAATTTTCTATCAATCTGACTATTAAATGATGACGTGGCAAGAACGGGTCCACTCATTCACCAACTAGAATAAAAAATTAATTAATGTTTGACAAATTTTTAATTTTCATTTAATAATTAAAATTAATTAAAAAATAACTCTCTCCCTCCTTTCTCTCACCTTTCTCCGTTCTCCGTCCAAACCATCTTCTCCGTCCATCTCTCCCAACCCATCTTCCCGGTCCATCTTCCCATGTCCATCTTTCCCGTCTGATATCCCCGCCCATCTTCCTCGTCCATCTTCGTCGTGCCTCTTCCATGTTCTCTGCAATTTGTAGGGTTTCTGATATCTTCATATGGCTTCCATGGCCGCATAGTCCTCCTGGTGCTACACGTGTAGCCAATCTATTCAAGTTCGGGTTTGGACCCAAGATTCGATCCTCTACCCCGAGATTCATTCGATCCCCAACCTTGCCCAACGAATCATGCCCACGCCTTGCCCTTGGTTCATCCTCATTAACCCGGTTGTCTGGGTGTCCTCTTCGCTTTCAATAGGAGAGTTGTCTTCGATGGAGGAAGCGTCGGTGTAAAAGAGAATCTTGGCAGAGGCTTTTCATGTCACAGGAACATGTGTGGGGCAGTCGCAGGTTCATGTCCGGTAGAAGGGGGAGGAGCAGGGGGCTGGGAAGTATAGCTTGGATGCAAGTGGGTTAACAGAGTTGAAATTGGGGGTTTGTTTGCAGCGGAGCTAAGAGAGCTCGCTGACGGTGTTAAGATTCATGGTGACTTGTGCGGCCGTGAGCCGATAGAAAGGGAGATGGAGGTGGGAGCGGCAGGGGAGATGTCGACGAGGTTCTAATGGTTGTGTTGATTGCGATGAGAGCGGAGAGGGTGGAGTGGGAGAGATGGACGGGGAAATTGGTTTGGACGGAGAAGGGAGAAAGGTGGGAGAAAGAAATGAGAGAGCTATTTTTTAAACAATAATTAATTAATTTTTTATTTTACTTGACGAATGGGTAGGTTCCATTCTTGCAATGTCATCACTTAACAGCCAAATTGAAAGAAAATTTGACGGAGGTATGATATTACAACGAATTCATAAGTTAAGATGTGACATTGCAATGTTTAAAACATGAGGTATAAGATTGTGTTTAGACCCATAGTTGAGATAGTTTTATGTAATTTACCCTTATCTTTTTTTTTATTATTATTATTATTATTATTTTTTACAGAAGCGATAAATAATTTCATTGATCAGAACAAATACTTTCAACAAATGTTACATCAAGGTGCGAAATGGGTATAATTCTCCAGTGACCAAATATCTTGATCTGGAGTAAATCCGCACAAATTCGTTAAGAAATAAAACTCTTACACAGCTACCATTACACACAACAACTATAAGCAACCAGTATAGATCTGCCACAATTACGACATACGTAACATATATGGCACCAAAGCCACAAAAGCCATCATAAGAACAAGGCTACAAATGACCCGCTGAAGAGATACAACGCATCCTGATGTGCAACACAAAATAATAATAAAATAAAATACTAACTAAATATTACTTTTTTGTCATTTCTTGTTATTCCTCTTGCATTAAACCCCATTTGTAGATATTATTTTTAATTTTTATAATCAACTTGTATCACAAGTTAATTATACTTATCCACCATATGACAGATTCTTTTTTAAAATCAACCTGTCAAAGATTAAAGTGTCTTATCTATCATGTTTTTTTTCTACCTTTTAGTTATGGTTCATATCTCGCTTATAGATATAATACACATTAATATATTTGTTACTTGAGTTAAGGTATGATGTTTTACAGATATATTTACGTTAGTATATTAGTTTTTTTTGTTATAAAATATTAATTATATTTTTTGGAGTTGAAAAAAGCACAATATTAAAAGATTTTAATTGATTTTTAATATTTTTAAAAATATAAAATGACTATAAGACAAATAAAAACATATAATTAGATAACTTGACTCACTCCTAAAAACCATCTAGTTTTTGGCCCAGCCCAAAAAAAACAATTCAACAATCATCATCATCGTATGCAAATCGTGAAGGATCTGCCCAGATTTATCAAAATTGATGCCAGGAAAGAGGCCCAAAAGTTTCTCTTGATTTTTCTTCCCCATTGCCGCTCGGATTTTTCGTTTTTTCGATTTTGTAGCTTTCAAATTCAAATTTTCAGAAATTTAATTCAATTGTTTTGAATATCTGATTACAAAAATCAAATTTGATTTTACTGTTATAAGATGATTCAACAGTTCGTTGATTACATCATCGCCGTCACCAAAGAGAGAGATTCTTCCTTCCCTTTTAACAAATCGATTCGAATTCAAATTGTTTCTGAAACAAAACCTAAAAAAAAAAAAAAGATTTCGAATTTGGTTTTTTGGAATCGTTTTTGAAATTGGGTTTGATTTTGGTTTCAAATTTGGTTCTAGTCAGTGAAGACGTTCCGTACAAATTGCTGAACAATATCGTGCGATTGCGACCTCGTCGATCTGTTTGTGGGATTGGTATTGCGTGCGGCAGAAGGAACTAGAAGCCTTAAAGTTGTAATTCGCAGTCTGCAAATTTGTGAAGCTTCGCGTGCAGCTTGAGGTGTCGCTCCCGGAGTTTGAACGAATCAAAGGTAGGGAAGGGTTGAAGCTTCGAATGAGTTTGTATTCTGAAAAATATTGGGGGAGTTTGGATGACTGTTGGTTTTGCTGAATTTGTTTTATGTTTAATTTTAAAATTTTCAAAATATTTTAAAATAAAATAGGGAAGTATTATGGCATTCCAAAAATCTCATTTTACACTCCTCACAAGTGTATTTTACTTTCTAAATATAAAAAGTTTAGAGCGTAGAATGAGAAATTTGGACTGTCAATAAAAATTCCCATAAAATAAACATAAAAATTAACTTGAGTTAAGTTAAATGACACATGTCAAGTTTGGAAATGAGTGGTGAGCATACCCTAGAGTTTATGGTGGTTTGCAAAAATGCTCCCAGGACTTTTAAGGCGAGAACAATCCTAAAAATGTGTCTATCTTCATTTTTTTTTTTAACAAACGATATTATCAAAAACTAATATAAGGAGATGAGAGAGAGGACTAAGCCTCACAATAAATTGGCAGTAATGTGGTTATCTTCATATAAGAAAAAAAAATCCAAAATCTCATAGCGGGATTCTATCTTCTCCTCATGGCCTTCGTGTAGCTAACCTTGTATTTGCTGATGATTGCCTTTTGTTTTCTAAGAGCATCTCCAAAGGAGATGTCAAAACTGTCACGTAAACATACAACAGTAAAAAAATGGCAGCAAACTATTTCCAAGCGAGCTTTCAATTTCTTACGTGGCACTAAGTCAATTGAAGGCACAGCCTTTTGTTGTCAAATTTGATAGCAGATGTCAAATTTATTAAATAATTTTTTACTAGCATCTTCAAAGGAGATGTCAAATTTAGGATGTCAAATGAAATTTAATAGCTTACATGACAATTTGACATATTGATAAAATATGTGTTCCAACCCATATGCCAACATATTATGTCTTATATTGATTAAAGCAAGCATGGATGGTTCTTAAAGATGAAATCAACGGCAAAGAAGTAACATGAGGAGTTTGTGGTGAATAAAAATAATGTCAAAATTGACAAAAAGTGGAAAGACCACAATCCACGTAGATTTAAAACAATTCGGTTGGAGTGAATTTTAATGCTTTTTTAAAATGTTATAATTGCCACGTAAGAATTGACATCTTCTTTGAAAATGTTCTAATAGGTTAATATAATAATATATAATAAATATTATTGTGTTTTCAAGTATTTTATTGGTT